TCTAACATTTGGAACTACATTGACCCGTGTAAAAGTCTAACGAATGGAAGGCATCCATCTTTATTCTTGGGTTCAGCTTTCTGTTATCTAGGCGCAGACGCAGACTTTTGTTCTTTTTCGTTATCGGAGTAACCGCTAAGAGCCATGGGGATTTTGATGGCTTTATGACCTCGTCTCTGGGCGTCTCGTCTGCAAAACGGTTTGTCTCATCTGGGGGAGGTGAATGGGTAACTGCCAGAACGGGCTAGCCTCGGCGATGTCTATCTGATGCTTCACGATCCTTGTTCTTCCCAGCATAACATCTTGCCATAATAATCCTTTCGTGCACGTAACCACCAACTCCCGAAGTTCTTCCCTCGCATTATCGGTGACGTGGCTAAGCCGTGAGCAAAGATAATCCAGTGTTTCCATTGGTGTTGCTTCAGTTTAAAATGGGACATTGCGAATATGATTACCACTTTCTTTTAGTGATGAAAAGGCTGCAGTGGATATCGTGGATAAGGTTTCTTCTGCAACATTCAGGGCGACTCTAGTGCTTCGTAGAAAATGGGTCCCAAGAATTACATTTCAAGTCTATCTTGAGCGTTTAAGCAATTTCACTCTCCAGGTTCCTTTATCCATATGGGCATGTAAAGATGTTTCCCCTACTATCACCACCGCCGTTCCTTATCCTGATCGTAGTCTGGCAGACGATGAAACAACCGTAACCTTTTGAAAAGGGTCAGGAAAGCTTTGAGACTTACTAATGACCTAGCTGCATCTGAATCAATAGGAAAACCAAATGCATGCTCTTCAAATTTGTCTGGGACTTGTAAAAACGAATGGAAGCCATATGAAAGAAAGCAGGCTAGGAAAAAGGAGGGCTCGCTTCACTTTGGGACTTGACGTGGAGGGCCTCAGTAGAAGTATGCTGGATTAGATTGACCGTTGTGGTTGGTGTGACGCGGAATCCCAACCAACTCCAAATGTTTTTTTCGCTACCAACTTTACCATCTAACTGAGGGAGTTAGTATCTGCGTGGACGAACTCCGTGTCTAAATTGGACGGTTATCCATCACTTGACCCCTTTTGGGGGTACGCTGAGAGCTCATTTTCCCCAATTCTTGCAGATTTTTTGCATGCTCCTTGTCATGTTTCCTCAACTTTTGATTAAGATAGAAGAACCCTGTGGATAACGTCTGCTCTTTCTGAAGGGTGACAGGTTGGGCTGACGTAATGCAACACTCAAATCGGTATCTAAAGTTAGCTCTACTTCCACAGCGGCAAGCAGGCAAGTGCAAGTAGGGTCTGTTCTATTTTCTGACTTTGGGGATGGGGTGGGACTTGGGATTGCTGACATGGCTCAGAGGCCAGTCCATTTAGCGAAGGAACAACGGGAAGGCACCTAATTGGCCCTTGTACCAAAACCGAGAATTAAAAACAACAAATCATTACGGAACTCCACCATACAACTCGGAGCTTGGCAAACGTTACTGATATTTAGATGTAAGCTGCCGTATTTATCCTTAAGGTTTGTAGAAAAAGTGAGGAGGCGACATGACTCGCGTTGCCTTACCGTGTTTTA